TCCTGTCCAACGGGAGAGCAGTGGGGACGTGTTTCAGCAGACCCCTGTTCCTTGCCTGGACTCCATTCCTAGTCCTGGCCGTTGCCATCTGCCTGGAGGGAGAGGATGGCTGGCGGGCTTTCCTGTTGGTCATGACCTCGCTGTTGATCAATTTGATTCGATGAATGGCTCCACTGTGGGCTGCCTGTGGTGTCTCCAGAGAAACAACATAGCCTCCAGTCGCTCAGGCCCCCAGAGGCGTTCAGGCCCAGGGTCAGAGCTGCCCAGTGTGCGTCAGAACCATTGCCCTCCCGCTCACTTTCCCCGGGGCGCAGACTTCTTCCTGCCTCCCTCTTCTCCCCAACACCAAGTCTTCCTTGTTCATCCCTCCCAAGGAGGCACTGGTGAGGCTTGCAACAAGCCTTGAAGCACAGCCTGAAAGTGCTAGTTGTGGACTGAGAATCGATGGACTGGCGGGCCCTGTTCCACTGCATCTGGATTTGCAGAGCCGGGGCCCTTTGGCTGACAATCGGCGCTGCAGATTTCCTCTAAAAGTCTGAGGGTTTCCAGAGAGTCTTGGTCAAACAGAGGAGAAGACTGCTCAAGTGTTGGTGCCTGCCATGGCCAGAGATTGGCGTTGGGGTGTCCGGCCTGACTCAGGGGCTCGTGAGGAGATTGTCGTGGGGTAATCGCTGCCTGGTGCTCCTCACGGCCCTCTGGCAGGAAGGGAGGTGTGTGTTCTGGAGCCAGCTCCTGCGAAGGCTCCTCTCCATTCCCACTCTGACAAGAGGCTCGGCCACCTGATCCCACCGTGCCGTCATTTTGCTTGCTTCCCTGACTTTCTCCTTGGTCCTGGTGCCTAGGAGGGACGCGAGCATCCGAGAACCGTTTGGTCACTGTCGTTGCCGGTGCCTGTGCATTCGCACCTGTCACCAGGACGCTGGAGACCTCTCTTCTCTGCATGGCCAGGGGCAGCTGGGCCGTCACGACCCCTTCAGGCTGGCTGACTCCCACTTGGCTGGCCTGGGAGTCCAGCTGCGTGGGTCAGCAGGAAGACAGGGAGCAGAATGGTTGGATTCTTGCCCCAAACCTGAGAGGTTGGCCAAGGAGGAGACAGGCCCACCCCAGCAGCCCCAGTGCTTTGGTCTCCTCCAGCCAGCACCTCAGGCCTCTGAGGGGAGCTGCCGGCCCCGCAATCCCCGGGTGCCCTGTCCTTCGCCTGGCGAGCTCTTCGGTTCTGAAACCAGGTGTGGATTCGCGACTCAGGGAGGCCTGTTTGTCGAGTCAATTCCTCTCTCGTCTGGATCCCTGGCCACCGGTTCTCCTGGAAGGCCTCCACCAGCACACTGGCTTGCCATCTGCTGATGGATGTCCGCTTGCATCTGGCCGCTTTGGGGACTCTTCCTGGAGACCGAGGGGGAAGCTGCTTCCCAGCCGCTGAGGCCGAGGCAGCCCCAGAGGCCAGCGGGCTCTTCCTCAGGTGTCTTCTTCTGTGGTTCTGGAACCAATCCTGGACCCTCGACTCTTCAATGCCAATCTCTTGGGCCAGTTCTTCTCTGGTCGTTATAACCGGGTAGGGGTTCTGTTCAAACGATGCTTGCAGGACATGGAGCTGGCTTGGATTCAAAACCATTCTCTTTCTTCGGCCCTGGGATCTCTG